TTCTAAACATCATAACATATAGAGCAAGACAGGAGAGATAAGAAGAAGACAGAGAGAGAGAACAGAGAGAAAGACAAAGAGAGAGAACAGAGAGAGACAGAGAGAGAGAACAGAGAGAGACAGAGAGACAAAGAGAGAGAACAGAGAGAGAGAGAGAACAGAGAGAGACACACAGAGAGAACAGAGAGAGACAGAGACAGAGACAGAGAGAGAGAGAACAGAGACAGAGAGACAAAGAGAGAGACAGAGAGACAGAGAGAGACAGAGAGGGAGAGAGAGAACAGAGAGAGACAGAGAGACAGAGAGACAGAGACAGAGAGAGAGAGAACTGACTGCAAGCAGAGACCACAATCATGCAGATATGCATTGAGCTCCTGCTCCTGGAGGCTTCCCCAAAAGACCCGCAGAGCAGGGTGGGTGGAACAGTGCTAGGGAGGTCGGCCTGACTTCTCCTGCAAGGTGCCCAGCCACAAACACCTGCTGAGAGATCTTAGACCTTTCTAGCAGGCCTGAGCCCTTGGGCTGCGCCAGGCCCCAACCTGGAGCCCAACTATACATTCCATACTCAGCTTGAGCCCCTGAACCATCTGGGTCACAAAGTCCCTGAGCTGAGTGAGCCCAAGGGGCCTCTGCTCCTTGCATGGCAGTTGATCAGAGGGGTTCCACATAGTGCCTCCCACATGCACAGAGCCTCCCTCGCACTTCCCAGGCACCTGGCAGATGCCTCCCAAGAATTTAACTTTCAGAGAGCGCTCCCGACTCCCCAGCCATGTTTAACTGCACAGGCTACAGAGTGGGTGATGGGCACCAGACACTGCCTGAGTGGACTCCCCAACCCTGAGCCACACACCACGTGCGTCACACCCATGTACAGAACTGCACCTGCTCAGAGGTCAGAGGGCATTGGAAAGAAAGGGAAGAAAGGAAGGAGGGAGGAGGGATGGAGGAGGAAAGGAAGGAAGGAGGGAGGGAGGAAGGAGGGAAGGAGGGGGAAGGAAGGAAGGGATGTCCATGCCACCCCAGTGCTTGTTCTACCAGGGCTGTCAGAGGATTGGCACTCTGCAGTCTGGTCTGGCTATCAGGGCACGGTGCTCAACACTTGGCATTCTGGTCTTAAGATCACAGTTAACAGAGGACACTTCTCACGTCACTCTGTGACATGGTTCACAAACTTGGCTGTACACTCAAAACCCTGGGGATGTTTTTAAAAAACTAAACCTAGCATTAACGTGGTCTCTACCTTTGGTGGATGTGATCTCACCGGCCAAGTTGAGGCCTAAGTATCAGGGTATTTAAAAACAGATTCTATAGGACGTCTGTGTTAAAGGGCCCTGAGGGAGGCCCAATCCTCTTGAGAAATCCTCTTGAGCTAGGAGAGACCAGCAAAGGTGTCAGAGGGGGCGTTCCTCCTGGAAAGTGGAACAGAGTTGGCAATTCTGTCAAGAGCCAGAGTTGAACTGTTTTAGGCTAAGAAAACTCTGTCTTGAGTACAGTTTTGTAAATGGATCCAGAGACCCACTGTGAGTGGCTGTGTTCCAATAAAACTTTATTTAAACCAAACAGACTATGGGGCACCTGTGGGCCCACAAGCTGTGGTGTATAGGCTCCCGCCTCAGAAGTTTTTGAAGTGTGGGCCACAGGGTCAGACACATCTGAATTCAAGTCAGCTTGGCCACCTACTAGCTATGTGATCATGACCGTGTGACCTAACCTCACTACACCTCAGTTTCCCTATCTGAAAAATGGGGACAAAGATTGATCCTCCTCCCGGGCATGGTGTGAGGGATGCTGATGATGAGAACTGCAGGCAGGAACCACTGTTGCACATTCCTGCTGTTAGCCCAGCACAGGGAACAGAGAGATGAGCCAAGGTGACAGGGAAAGGCATTCTGCTGGCAGGAACAGCATAGGGCAGGGCACAGAGGAGCAGAGAGTTTTCACAGGACCTGGTGGGGAACGTAGGGACAAAGTTAAGGCAGGAGGTAGAGAGGGGTGGTGAGATGCCTTGAACCTGCAGGTGGCAGGGAATTCTGCGGAACCACAGATACTGCTGTGGCTGTTCCGCCAACATGGACCAGACCCAGAGCAGGTTGTTGGAAACAGAAACTACAGACAAGCAGTGGTCTCCCATCTACCCCTTCACTGGTGTTTTCAATAAATATGGAGTGGGAGTGATGCCTTAGAGTCTCGAGGGCACAGAGCCTTGGAGGGGAGGACCAGAAGAAGAGTGAGAAAAGGCTACAAGGTTTGGGATGACAGCACAGACAGCCTATCGCTGTGAGCTGAAGAAACCGCCTCTGTACACCCCACTGTGAGCCAAAACACACAGGGCACAGCTCCTCCCTGGAACCATCACGGTACAGTGACCAAGGCCTGGTGTCCGGGCGGCCCCTCCCTCTCTGTCCCTTAATGGGCACACAGCCCCCAGGAAAGCCCAGCACTCACAGGCCGGCCAGCCTTAAGCCAGCGTCTCTCTGGGAGGGGCCTTCCTGCCAGGATGACACAGGTCAGGGACACGGGCTGTCCCTCTAGGACTCGGACTGTGGGGGCGCCACTGGCGATCTGTGGGGGAGCTGTGGGAAGAGGAGACACTGTCAGCCACACAGATCCTATGAGCAGCCACCTGAGGGACAGAGGCCCATCCTTTGCTTTTTCCCCTAGAAACTCACAGAAGCATCAAGACTGGGAAGCCCAGAGACTCAAAGGTCCCCCAGCATATGGGGCTACAGATGTGGGGACACATTGGTCCCATAGTGGCTGAGGGGGCTGCCCCAGGGTGCCCTCAGCCTGGCTGCAACCAGGAGCACCTGTCTCCCTCCCACTCTCCATGCTTCCAGATCCACCCACGAACCACGTCCAGTGACCACGAGCCGGGCCTCAGCCTGGGCCCTTCCAAAGATATTTCGAGCTTCGCACACATATGGGGCCTGGTCTTCCGGGGTAACACCTACAAGATAGAAATGAAGCCTGACTGTTGGGGACCCACAGGCTCTGGCACTGCAGATGCAGGGGAAGACTGGGATGTCAGCAGAAAGGAACAAGACACCATAGGACCTCAGCTTGCTCCTCTGTGGAATGGGGATGTGAACAGATGCCTGGCTGAGTGCTTGGGGAGGTGGAGGAGATGATTCAACACACTGAACATGAAGCCTGGCACGTGGTCCACATTAGTGCAATCTCAGTAATAACTATAAGGGCAGTAGCTTAACGGCTCACACTACCACAGCACTTAGCAAGTGCCAGAACTCTGCCAAGTTATTGATGTGTGCTACCCATACGACCATGCAGGAAGGTAGGGCTGCTGTTGAGGTAGTTTCTAGCATCATCAGGATGGTGACCTGAGCTCATATTGAGATGACTTGGCTAGAGTCACCTGCCCAGATGGTCAACATCAACCTGCCGATGGCGAGTTCTGGGGTCAGGGTCTTGCCTCCCCACTGCCCACGCCTGTCTCCCAACCCAGCCCACCCCTGATCCTTTCTCTTACTTTCAAAGAACAGAACTCCTGAATCTCGCTTTCCAGTTCTGCTGCCCCTCCCAGGCCCCAGGGCCTGCCCATCTTCACGACGCCAGGTGACAGTTGGGGGTGGGCGGCCTGTGGCCCGGCAGGTAAGGAAGGCGCTCTTGCCCAACTCCACAGTGACATTCCGGGGCAGTTCTGTCAGCCGGGGAGCATCTGTGGGAGGTGATGAGTCTGTGGGAAGTCCCAATGAGCTGGGACCTGCGGGGATGCCCTGTTTTTCCCTCTCATCTCTGGGAGCACCTTCCAGGCTTGCCCTGTGAACCTAGGACCCCTGTCCAGTGCTCCATGGTCAACCTGAGGTTAGCTGGGTTCACCTCAAGAGTTCTCAGGAGGAGTTAACGTGAGCAGACTTTGGGCAGAGGGTAGTTGGGGATGTACCTGTTGCCCCCACAGGAGCCTGGGGCCCTGCTCTACAATAGCCTTGCAGAAGGGCAACATGCCCACTCCTGGCTGTGACATCTTCTCTAAGGTCATGTGCAAAGAATCCTCCAGCCAGAAGGCTGTGTGTGTCTGAGGCTGATGGAGATGTGTTCAAAAGGACTTAGGGCGCAAGGGGTGAGCCCACTGCTCCCAGACTCCCCTGTCTACCTCGCCTCTTCCTGAGCCTTAAGGAGAGTGAGGGAATCCTAGTTTCCCCTCTGATATGTTTACCTAGAGGCCAGAGATCATGGTCCATTTCCAATGTCCTGGTTTTTTAAATGAATTAATTTATTATATATATATATGTGTGTGTGTGTGTATGTGTGTGTGTGTATTTTGTCTATGTTTATGTACGTGTACCCATGCATGCAATGCCTGAGGAGGCCAGAAGAGGGGGTTGGATGCCCTGGGACTGGAGTTATAGGTGGTTGTTAGCCACCTTGTGGGTACTAGGAACAGAACCCAGGTCCTTGGGACCTCTGTAAGAGCAGCCAGTGCTCTTAATCCCTGAGCCATCTCTCCAGCCCTGACCTTGTCTGTTTTAAGCCATCTCAAAGAGTTACCCTCAGGTCTTCCTACCTCTTTTCCTGCTGAAGTGTTTGGAATAAGTATGTGAAATGCCACAAAATTAAAATATTCCCGTTATACATGACCTTGTCTTTAATGGTCCACAGTGGGACACTGGCTAGTAAACACAGGCTGTATTAATAAGCACCCCAGGCCCATAAGCCCACCCCCAAAATGTGAACAGCACCCAAAGGGTGGGGATTCCCCTAACCCTTGCACCAGGCACCCCAGGTCCCATTTTCCCAGGACTCCTATGATCCTTCACTAATTCATGGCATTTCCTCTAAGCACTGGCTTGCCTTTACTTTCAGAAAGTAATTCTCAAACTATTTCCCCAAACAGACCTTCCAGATCCTGTTCTCAAGGAGGCCCAGAGCTGGTCCCGCTCTAGACAGGGCAGCCCTCCCTGTAGCCCTGACCCTTTCCTACTCCACATCCCCAAGCCTTCCACCCAGGAAGTCTGCCCTTTCGTTAACCCAGTACCACAGAGAAGCGGCCTCCCCCTCCTCCCCATTTTCCAGAACCTTCTCTAGGCATCCAAACAACATCAAATTTCCCTCCTGGCCTCAGGATTAGGGACAGTCCAGGGGAATACAGATACAACTTAGAAAACCACCATACGACTCAAGACTGTCTGTGAGCCAGCCTCAGATGGGGCCCTTCCTTGCTGGGGCTGTGGCCACCCAAGCTCAGAAGCCAGAAAGCCTTGCCCAGTTTTACCCTAGACAGGGTCACCGCCCCTAAGGAGCCCTGATACCCAAAAGTCCAGCTTTGCTACCCTCCATTATGTAAACCCAGGCCTAGGTCCCCCAAAACCCTTTCTGTAGTTCTACCCCATCAGGATCTAACTGCAACGTCTTCCATCCAGGCCTCAGGTTCTGATCCACAGTCCAGTGGTTCCTCTACCCACTTCCTACCTCAGCTTTAGGAAACACCATTTCATGCAAATCTCACTAGGATCAGTGGGCAGCATCACAAATGAGAAAATTGAGGGTCAGAGAGATTAAGGAATCCCCACACACACCAAGGTTAATGACAGAGCCCAGATGTGGCTGATGCTGAAGCCCAGGCTCTCTCACTTCTCCCCTAGGACTCCCTAGGTGATGTTTGGGGACACTGCAGTGACTGAGTCACAGCCACCTTGTCTATCTGCCTGTAGGGGTCAGTCACAAAGCAGCAAACCTCAGACTTAGCTGTCCTGCCATAGGCCCCATATTGAAAAACGTCACTTGTGGTTCTGGGTGCCCATCCCTTCCCTGGCACCCCCTAAATAAGGTAAGACCCCAGAATGCTAGTGATGTGCCACAGCTGAAGGTCCCCTGGTTGGGTACCTCACTGGGCAGAGGGTGGCTGAGCCCTGCAGTGGGTCAGGATGGGTCACACACCCAGCAGTGCCCTTCCCAGGGTCTAGTCAGCATGCTTAGCCTTCTCTTCCTTCAGCCCCATCCCGCCCCCCACAACACACACACACACACACACACACACACACACACAGACTCCCTATAAGAACCCAGTCAGGGATCTGGCACTGGTTTTACCACCATCTCCTTTCCCCAGGAGTGGCTCCCTGTCTGCCTTGGCCTTGAGCATGTGCTGGGGCAGGAACTTAGGACACCCAGAGACAGGAGGATGAAGTCAACAGCCACAGAGATGCCCCAGAGAGGCTGCTGTTAGCGGGTCAAATACACGGTCTCAGTTTAGTCTGTCAAGGACCCCAGGAGCAAGACTCGTGGTCCTATTGTACAGAGGGGAAAGTTAGGGCTCTTTGGGGCAAGTTATTCAGCCAAAGAAGTGGTCTGTGACTCTTGATTGACATGCACCAGGCCCAGAAGTTAATTCAAAAGTGCCTTCTTGGGGTGTGGCTCAGTGGCAGAGCACTCGCCTAGCAAGCAGGAGCCCTGGGTGCCATCCCCAAGTCAGAGAGGAAGAGAGAGAGTGGGAGGGACTTGCTGCCTGCTCTGCCACTGCAGGCCCTGGTTCAGTCCTAGATGTCACAGGAAGCCTGTTCCCGGTTCCTGCAGGAGATAGGCACGGTACCCACCTGTTCCCACACTCTGCCAGCTTGGCCAGGAAGGCCAGACCACCACTGCTGCCCAGATGGGCAGGAAATTTGACTTCCCACTATCACCACCAAGCTGGCTTGCCTGACCCACGGCCACCTGCTGGTCTCCACCCATGCCCTGCCCTAGCCCTGGGCGCCCACTGCCCCCTCCTGCCCGAGGGAGATGGCTCCAGGGTTAACAAAGGATAGGGTCAAGCAGACACCTCAGCCTGGACTCCAAAAACACAAAGCTCTTTTTAAAAAACTATCAGATGTAACAGGGCTGGAGAGACAGCTCAGCAGTTAAGAGCACTGGTTGCTCTTGCAGAGGACCTGAGTTTGATTCCCAGCACCTATATGATGGCTAAAAATCATCTGTAACTCCAGTTCTAGAGCTTCCAATGCCCTCTTCTGACCTCCTTGGGCATTGTACAACATGGGTGCACTTACACACATGCAGCAATACATTCATACACATAAAAATAATAAAATATTTTTTAAAACAATGAGATGGGAGTCAAGACTAATGCCCACTGGGCAATCTTCCCGAACCTTCCAGCTAAGACAGCAATGGTAATTCTTTTCAAAAGCCTTCCTTATCTTGGGGCTGGAGAGACGGCTCAGCAGCTAAGAGCACTGACTGTTCTTGCAGAGGACCCGGGTTCAATTCCTAGCACCCACATAGCGGCTACAAACCGTCCTTAACTCCAGTTCCAGGGGAATCCGAATCCCTTTTCTGACCTCTGTGGCACTGCATGACACTGGTGCACTCACGTACACGTAGGCGGTACACTCATACACATAAAATAAAAATAATAAATTTAAAAAAAATTTTTTAAAGCCTTCCTTGCTCTGCTTCCTGGGGCTGCACGGCCCACCAGCCTCTTTCCTGGACACCAGGGCTGACCTTTCAGCTTCCTGATCCTTTGCATCCAGACCAACCCAATTCCTCAGTGCAGTCCCCAGGAGCCCTTGGGGCCTCTTCCTTCCCCCATCTCCCTTTGCATCTCTGGGTGGCAGGGCCACCAGCTGCCTGAGACCAGCATCTTTCCTGGGCCTGACTCCCAGGCCAGTCCAACCCCCAAATTCCTGAGGCCAAAATCTTTCCCGAAAGGATCCAGACCTTAGGAGAAAGCCTGAGAGCATCTGATCCTCATCTGACTCGGGCCTCTGTGGGAACTCCTGAAGACAAAAGTAACCCGGCCACTCCAATATAAAATCAAAAGAGAGAACCGGAAGCTTAGATGGACCAGCTTTTCATGCCCAAAAACTAAACCACAAAGACACATAAAGTTTACAAAAAGAAGCAGACCTAAACTTAAAGGCTTGAGTCTCACACAAGAATCAGAAACTATAAAAGAAATTCACATGTCAAAATCACAGAGAAAAAATAATAACATGAAAAACCAAAATAATATATCCCCACCAAATACCAATAGTCCTCTAGAGGGGTACAATGAAAACCCCCAAGAGATAATGCAGGACATGGAACTCAAAAGAACAGTTATAAACATGATAAA